TTTACTCGATGGATTAGTCAAAGTGGACATGAACTTGTTCATCTACTTCAATTATGTGAAATATCAACATTAAATGAAAATAAGAATAATAATGATCGATTCATCATTGAAACATGTTTACGATATTTCCTTAAAGATAATTCATATTCGTCGTGTTATTCTCAATAATACAAAAATAGCTATTGGAGGTATCAAGTATTAATATTTTTAGATGTGGCATTTTTTCTTCGAATATATCAAATTATATTGAACATCTATTTATTTGGCGTATATTATGTGAATTAATAAATGACGAAGATGATGATACAAATATTCATCCTGATTTTCATGAATTTATATCTTGTCTTTACCGTATAATAAAATCTTCAGTTAATGAAAAATTATCTGTAACAAAAGAATTTATTATCTGTCAATATGTATCGATTCTTTCAACAATTGATATGTTTGATATTTATCGACGTAAATGTGATGAAACTATGAGTCGTTGTATACTTATACATGACGGCCAATATGAAACTAGAATTAAACAAGTTCATCAAATGATACGATAAATGAACGATATCAACTTATAATCTATATATTAAATGATATTATTCAACGTTGTCAAAATACACAATTAGAAAAATTAATATTTATACAATGTATGACTATAGCAAGAGTATTTATTGAACAAGAAAAACAATTTGGTTTAAATTATGCAAATTTTAAACAATTCATTGATTCATTAGTGATACAAAAATAGCACTTGGTCGATTTGAATGTTGTGCTTTTCTTTTGGTTATCTAGATTAAATCAGGTTTATCACACAATGAATTTGATAGTCAAACTCACACTTTATCAACATTAGGATCACTTATGTGTCATTCACAACAAGTAGCTATGGAATATACCAAACAAATTTTTCATATCATCGTAGGTTATCTATAATCATATTTGAGATTAACTCTTATTGTTCATATCTTGGGTTTGGGTTCATCTCTAAGGTCTGGTGAGACCGGGTTTTTTCATCCCGATCCCGACCGTTTCTCACTTGACAGACACTCGACTCGATCCAGCTCCCGACAAGATAGGGATCGGAACAGTCCCACCGGATCATGTTCATCTCTCCTTGACCAATATCCACACCGTCAAGATAGTATTGTTTCATATTCTAAATATTCTATGTTTATCTTTAGGATGAAGTCGATCATATATCTTTAAAATGTCAATCCTTATCTATTCTTATTGATATTCTTCTTGTACATGGTATTAATATTATAACAACAATAAATCTTGATAATTTAACACCATCTCAATTTCTAACAGCATATTTTTTAAATCTTTTTCATGAACAAGTAATAGAATTTTGTATTTTAATGAAAGTTATCTTCATGTGTAGAATATGGAAATAAAAACTATCATTGTATTTGGTCATATGAAATTATTTCTTAGTTCTTGTCTTGAATCAACAATTAAATTACTTCGAATTATATTTGATTATCGTTTTACAAATGATCATCGATCTATTAATAAATATGAACGAAATCAAATAACTTCTTTCTTTTATTTTTTTAGTCATTTATCGAAGTTAGTAAAGTTACTTTTTTTTGCTCTCTGATTAATTTTTTATTTAGTTCCAATGTTTTACTTATTGAAGAATTAACATTTGATCTTATTACTCATTGTTTACCATTTATATCTAATAATAGTACAATAGCTTATAAATCAATTTTAACTGAATCGATGTCTTATTTTTGTATTGAACGTCTTTCATTATTAACTTTACCAACGGAAGAATGTTCACATTATAATCTTGCTAAAAATCTTCTTGAATCAATTCATACTTCAACAAATAATCATACAGTATGTACTATATAATCTTATTTAAATACAATAAAACATCTTCAATTTCAATATATGAAT